AGCTTTGTGCCTCTCCACAAGCCTCTGCTTCCGCCCATCTCACAACGGGCTCCAAAAAGAGATTCTAAGTAAGAAGCCTAAGAGACTTCCTGGGCCTCAACTTCAAAGGAGCCTGCTTAGCAGCTTCCTTTCGAAGTAGGTAGGTTCACAGGTAGGTTCTCGCCCAACTCCTGAAAGTCAATGACGGGAACTTTCGGGATGGAAGAGATGAGCAACTTGGCAAAGTTCTTTTCTATTTGGTCAGTTAGCAATTTAAGTATTCCGTTTAGGGTACTGTGCCTGTTACTTTTTAGTCAATATTCACCAGCCAATCCCCCTAAATCTTGAAGGATTCAGGACTTGGTAATCATTGCTTCCAATTTCTTTTGTAGATGAAAAGATATTCCTTCATTTTTATTAGAAAGAAATCTATTATAATTCAGTGTTACCACCTCCTTAGTATAAACAGCAAGATACAAAGTGCCTAGAAAAATTGTACTGTGAAAATGAGCTTACCTTCATTCTGTTATAACTAGTTCCAATTCCACTGCCACTTCTATTTCTAGTATGACAAGGAGCTATTTATAAGTTTAAAAATATCCCTATAGGCTCTTCACACAGAACTTCTAGAAATAGCAGAGACTTGAGAATTACATTATCTTTCCTCTGATTTTTGTGGTATTCTTCTCCACAGTAAGTAACAATGATAACTATGTCTCTGCAATTTTGTTGTTGTTGTTATGTGCTGTCGAGTCTAGAATCCAGAAGCCCAACCTCTAAAATAAAGATTCTGGCCTCAATGAGAAAACTCCCTTCAGAGGCTCTGCCTTTAATCTCCTTTTGGAAATACTCAATTATGAGACTATTCAAGGAAATCCACTTACGCAAATAGATAAATTGTTTAGTTGGGTAACCAACTTTGATATTTTAAAGGAAATGGGAAGAAAGAGTAAAATGCTGAACCTCTGTAAATACTACATGATGGTCTAAGAATGATTCCAGCTTGCTCAGGAGAAGTCTGATTGGAGAGCTCATGATAGTATAATTGAGATTTGCATCTGAGCGCTAATCAGCAGGAACACTATTGCACTCCCTGCGCCTTAGTGAGCAAGAGCCTGAGGAGGACCTCTTTGTCCTCCATAAACCAAAGGGGTGTCAAGTGCATCATTGTATTCCTGAGACTGGTAGATTTGAACAGATGATCCAGAGAAGCAGGTGAGCTGATTCCTCTTAAAATTTTCAAAGCATGTTGGATGGACAGCAAGGAGACCACTGCTGTTGTTTTCTTGTAACCTATGTATGATACATCAACAGATCAACAGGGTAAATATCCCTCCCTGACCATCTTTTCCTCAACTATCTCACATTCTATCCCATATAAAAGGGTATTATGAGTATGTCCTAACAATTGCATTCCTCTTTCCTCTTGTTACTTTCTAGAAAGTTGTTGATTTAATCTTACATTAAAAAGACCTTATACTTGGAAAAGAAAAAGTTTGGGCTAATTTTAGTATCCTCTTCAGTTTACTGCACCCTTAAGGTGTTCAGTTTTAGCAAATCCTGTGCATTCAAGTAAGCCTTCTCAGCCGTCTCAGAACGCATAAGTGTGCACTCTTTCTCCTCCTCTTACATTTTCATTAAGGCAATATTCTCTGTTATTGTGGTTGTCGTTGTTGTTATGTGCCCTCGAGTCGCTTGTGACTCATAGTGACCCTGTGTACAATAGCCCTGAAATCTCCTCTATCCTGTGCCAATCCTACTGTATATGACACACCTACACTCATTATCTCAGTCATTGAATAAATCTATCTCATAGAGGGTCTTTCTCTCTTGTACTGTCCCTCCACCCTCACAAGCATGATGTCCCTCTCCAAGGACTGATCCCTCCTTGCAACATGCCCAAAGTAATTAATTATCTATGTACTTTTTTTAAAAAATGAAAGATAGAGCTGTTAACTTCCTATGTGTTAGGCAGAGCACCCTCTCTTAAAATAAAATTGTATATACTGATCATAACTCTCTTTTCTATCTAGTCTCTCACCTTTGTGGAAAATATCAAGGTTGAAAATGAAGAGAATTAGTAATTGAAAGATAATATGAAGTGGAAAAAGAGTATATAAGTAATAAGAAAATTCAGCCCTAGAAAAGCTGAGTAATTGACTTTAAACCTATTGCCTCCTCTTTTTCTAGCACTTTCTCCCAACTCACATAAAAACCTCATTCCTTCTTTAACCTTTCTCACCAACCCCCCAATTTAACTCTTTAAAGCAGAGTTGGCAAATATTTTCTGTGAAGGATCAGGTAGAAAATATTTTCACTTCTGCAGGCCATAGAGTCTTTGGCAACAACTATTGCCCTTGTAGGGAGAAGTTAACTAATAGACATGATGTATTTGTAAATGATTGGGCATGACTAGATTCCAGTAGAATCTTATTTATAAAACCAGGCTACAGCTGGAGTTAGCCCACAATCCCAAATTTGCTGACCCCAGCTTTGAGAAAAGATGCATTTTCTTCTTGTTTTCTTTAACCTTACAAGATCTTTTTACCTCCTGTCCACAACCTTCCTCCTCTGTCCTTCTCATATATACCTCAAAGATTTATATATATCTCAAAGAGTCAGTTAACTGGCTTGTAACAGCTAGTAAGGCGAAATGGGGTGTGGCAGATGAATGAGTTTTGTACCACATTTTACATTTTTTAAGTGTTTTGGTTGATTCTAAAATGTGAGAAAGCTTTCAAATGAACACACTAAGTAGAGCTCTGTTATATGTAAGATCACTATTAGTCAGATGCTTGCTGTAGAAAGTCAAGGACTGAAGCCTTTAATATGGATTGAAGCTCGACATCAAGAGAACAAAGATACTTACCACTGGACCAATTTGAAACATCATCATAGATGGTGGAGAGAATGGGATTGTTAACAGCTTCAGTTTGCTTGGCTCCGTGATCAAAAATCTTGCATCAGGAAAGTCTGCTGCCAGGGACCTTTCCAGAGTACTGAACAGCAGTGACATCAGTCTGAAGGAGACTAAGGTGCACCTGATCCAGGCCATAGTCTTTGCAATTGCTTGCTATGCGTTAGGACAATGACTAAGGATGGTAGAGAATTAATGCCTCTGAGCTATGGTGCTGGAGAAAGAGTATTAAATATACATACCATGGAATGCCAGGAGAACAAATAGGTTTATCCTGGAGAGGTGGAACCAAGCTGCTCCTTAGAGGCAAGAATTCTGAAGCTTTGTCTGTCATACTTTGGTTATGTTGCAAGAAGGGACCAGTCCTTGGAGAGGGACATCATGCTTGGACGGATGGAGGGACAGAGAAGGAGAGGAAGACCATCAATGAGCTGGACCAATTCAATGACTGGGGTAATGAGGGTAGGTGTGTCAGAGACAGTAAAGTTGGCACAGGATAGAGCAAGTTTCAGAGTTATTATATACATGGGGTTGCTGTGAGTTGCAAGCACATAACAACAACATTAGTCAGAATCAACTAGATGGTTACTACAACAGCAAAGATCATATCTAAATAGAGAAGTGTGTGAGAGAGAAAGAAAGAGAAAGACAGCTAAGAATAGACGGAATTCATTGTTAGGAATTTTTTCCTTCATTTTATTAATACATTGTCAAGGGCCTCTATGTCATTCTTCCTAAAATCCAAGATTAAAAGTTATTCTTTTTAAACTCTCATACTAGGGTTCAACCTAAGGACTTACCCAGATAATACTACCTGGCATGTCACAAAAATGTTATTGAACTGAAATTGTTCCAGTTTGCGAAAGGTGCTATTCATAAGCCAATTTATTGGGACCAGAGAGATCCATACATCTATGTACTACCTAGGCTGGGGCAATTCCAGAAAGATTTCAGAAAATTGCCCAAATCCATTGGAATAACCCATGCTTCTTTCAGTTTTCAAAGAAGGGAAAATTAATAGTTTACAGTGGCCTAAACATTTGGACACCAAGTCTATATAATGTATATTACTACTCTATGTCTTTAATGTCTGGCATCATGTAGTCAACCTTTACCATTTTCTAAGACAACTGAAAGTGATAGAAAACTAAAGAAGAGTTAGAAGGCTAATGTCAAGAGCCCAAGTGTAAGGATCTAAAAGTATTTGTGAGTGGCCTACTCTCCTTCTGGCTGTTTTCCAAATCAAATGTGGTTTTTCAAATTGCGTCCCCTTTTTTATCAACTCAGTTTATATAAATCTTCATTAATGCTGGAATTTTTTTCTCTTGCTGTTAAAATTCTTATGGCAGTTCTTTCCCAAGAAAGTTTCCCTATCTAGTCTCTCAGTTATCTTTATGGCAAACATCAAGGTTGACAATGACAAGTATTAGGCAATTGGGGGCAATATAAAGTAGAAAACTAGGAGGTGTCTCATTTCTCAAATGGGAAAATTCATTCCTCAAGAAGCTGAATAACTGACTCAAAGTCTGGTGGTGATGCTTTTACCCTCTAAAATGCCTTCTTAGTTTCTAATGAAGTTTTTAATCTTAAGGAAGTCCTTGATATTCCATGAGCAAGATTTCCTATGGCATTCTGTGCCTTGAGATCAGATGTTCAAATTGTCCAACATAAATAACCCACACAGGTTTAGGGTCAGTGTGACGTCCTTTGTCCCATTGTGAAATTCAAGCTGGCTTTGTTGAGTAGTTGGGAGATGAGAGATTCCCTATTAATACACATATCTACATGCCAAACATTGAACACAAAAGTAAGAATGTGGTATGGGGGAGGGGTGGGATAAATGATAGCAGCCGGGATTTGGAGTGCCTTCCTTTTGTCCAATTCTCAGGAAAGATAAGCCCTGGACTGAGAGTGGAACAAAAAGGGTGAAATTTCTGCATATCTTGAGGAAAAAAAGTATATGCCATTACAAAAGTATACCAGCATGTGGTTAAATGCAGAGATGTATGTGAGTATACGTCAAAATATGTTTGCAATTTAGTCATATATTAACATCACGATCTATATGTGCAGATTAAACTCTTCCCATTTCTCTAATACTTACATCAGCTGCTTTCTTCTCAGCCAGCTCCAGCTTCTCCTGGGCATCCTTCAAAGCCTCAGAATACTTGTCCAGCTCATCCTCTGTCCCTTTCAGCTTCTTCTGCATGGCTGCTAGCTCATCTTCCAGCTGTTAGAGCCCAGAGAGTCACACACAGATACACAAGAGGGTCCATCTTGGACCCTGAGCTATTAAGCCCTGACAGAACTCTGAGCCCAGCCTCTGTGTTACCTATGTAACTTAATGCCCCACACTGTATGCTTTGACCTTGGCCCGTGATGTGACCCCATGATCTGTGGTCTTATAGATAAGCCATGCTATGCTTTTATCTAAGATAACTGACATTCAGTATCTAATATGCCTGTGGCTCCATTTAAGGAAAAAGGGGTGCTTCTTTCACCTTTTTGAGATCTTCCAAAAGATGGTCCTGCTTAAATCCAGCAGACTTGGCTTTGAAAGGTAACTGACTTTCACAAGGTCACATCGTTAACCTTCGGCAGATACCCCAGATGTCTTTTACCCCTCCATTGAAAATAGGGAAGAAGAGTCCTCCCTGCCTAAAAAAGGAGCTGACATCATTTTATTCACCAGAAGGTGAAAGAGATCAATGCCAGTGCCTACCTGTTTACTTCTTTCTTCTGCCTGTTTCTGCTCAGCTTCCGCTTGCTCTGCCCGATCCAAAGCATTCTCCTTGTCCAGTTTCAGCATCTGCATCTTTTTCTTGATGGCCTCCATCATGAGCAGTAACTGTTGGGCTCACCTGTGAGCACTGGAGAACTGGAGAGTAGGTCAAGAAAGGAGGCACTGCTGCATGAGCAACTAGAAAGTTTCCCAGACTCGAGCCTTTATCTCTGCTCATGGCTCCACCTTTTGTTCCTAATATGGGCCTCCCAGCTCTCCTCCACCCCATCATTCTCTTGGGAGAACCCAGGGTTAGACACTGATGGACTGACATCACTGGCAAAGAAAAATTTGGGAACAGCTGAGGCCGATTTTAGACAATGGAAAGTGGGGGAGGGGAGAGGCTCCCTGACTCTGAAACTTTCCACTCATGGACAACTCTGGGTGTTTTATAAGGACAGGGAGAGGGAAGGAGAACATTGATTCAGAGAAGGGGACTTTGGCAACATTAGAACAGTAGTTTTCATCCAGAGGATCTTAGTTGCCTTTAGCTTTCCTCTTACTTTGCCCCCACCCCACCCCAATTTGGATGCCGATCAGACTCCACTAGTCTGAGTTTTATCTTTTGATTCCTGGTATCCAGGGAGCTAGAGCAATAATGAGGAGGGGAGGTCACTCATGATCCTTCGAAATTCCCCTGAATCCCTAGATCAAATTGCTTTGCTATTTTAGGAATCCCCAATTAGCAGGAAGACATCATCATTCCCCAGGGAAAGGAGTTAGAGGGTAGGCTTAGGTCTGGAAGGATACCTCATAACTTGCAATAGGATGGACAAAGTAGGAGAGAGTTGGAGTGAGCCAAACAGGATCACACTCTGTTTTCCCATATTATTGTTAGATGTTGGTGAATCAGTTCTGGTTCATACTGGTCCTATGTACATGTTCACAATTGTTTTCCCCACAAACCCAGCCCACTGCTATCAAGTAAATTATGACTCCTGGCAACCTTCTATTCAGTTTCCAAGACACTAAATCTTTATTGGAGGAGACTTCCCATTTGTCTCCCCCAGAGCAGCTGGTGGTTTGAGACTGCTGAACTTTTCGTTAGCAACACAACACAAAACACACTATGCCACCAGAGCACCTTTGTTTTCCCATGGGGACCTTTAACTTTGTATCAGCACAGGCTAATGTCTGTGCTGCTTTCTACTCTTCTCTCAACTTGTGTTCTCTCCTCTGCTCTCCCCCTGCCCCCTACCCTGAAATCATCAAAATAATTGTTATCCTCAACTCTTCTCTCTCCAGCTTAGTTCCAGGCTGTGTTCATTTTGCACTTGGAGCTTCATTGCTGACAGGTGGCAGTTGATCTCACTGGCACCATAAAACCGGAGAACATGCCAGGAGAGAAGTGGGCACTGTTCAAGGTGACCAGTGCTATCAGAGAAGAAAAGAAACAGCTCTAATTAATTATTATGTCAAGGTTAATTGGATAGTGTTAATGCTAAGCCCAGCAATAAAGAACCCAAGATGACCATTGGGGCAGAGGACAGAGCTAGATGTTACTCTTGAGAGCTGAGAGCTTCCTGCCACTAGCGGTTAGGTCAGGTTATGAGTTGGCTCTAACCCAGTGATGCTGTGTACGACAGATCAAAACTTGGCCCTGTCCTGCCCTAGCCTCATAATCACCACCGTACTGATGCCCGTTGCTGCAGTCATTCTCAGTCCATCTCATTGTGAGTCTTCCTTTTCTACCTTCCCAAACATGGTCTCAGACTATCAGCTGACTTTTGAAGGAAAGCAGAAAGACCAAGGACCTCCACTGGTTACACTAGCCAGGGAAAGGAACTAGGGAACAAGAGAGTTCTAGAGGTGGGAAGTAGGGAGTTAAAGGGAGGAGGGGGAATTTAAATAAAGAGGAAAACACAAGGAATTGAGAGTATAAGAAAAAGAGTAAATTTCGAGTAAGGGAACACATACAGGATTTAAGTCCCTAAATTCCAGCTCTCATCCTATTCCTATGCCAGCATGAACGTTTAAGATTGAAATCATTGTGGGTTGCAGCCACTGAGAGGGTCCTGGAGAGGATCAAGTCAGCAGCCCCAGAGGTTGAGGTAGGGAAGAGTGTGATGCTGAATTGCCGACCTCTGTAGGAATATGTTTGACATTTAGTTGGCTCCTAATTAAACAACCCAATATCAAACATATCATACAGAAGCAGGCAGGAGAGGCTTAATAGTCATTGGTTTCTCTCCACATTGCAAAGACAGTCATGCTTAGATGGAAAGGCATCTCTTGAGGAGGGCCACTGGCCCCTGATCTTCACCTCCCAAGGCAGCCAGCTCTTCTTTTTGCTCATCTCCCCTTCGTGCCTTTCCTGCCTCAGCTCCTCTCCTGTCAGTGCTCTGACATTTGCTGGATCACGTCAGGCTACACCAGGAGAAATACCTGGCAGCACTCCACATCCGGGCACCTCTCCTCAAAAACTCCCACATGGAGCTGCTCTCCCTGATGTCACGGCCCCAGTGCCTGAAGGATCAACAATGTCAGCAGCCCTTCAGCAGCTTTGCCACCTGTTCTTAACTCCGTTCCAATTACCCTGAGGTAGGAGGCCAGGGTGTCTTGTACATCCTGCTTTCTCTCCCCACAAGAACTCCTAACGTTCCCAAATCTCCTCAAGTCAGCTGAGGTCCTTTCCATGGACACCATCTTGCTCTTAAGGACTACAGCTAAGTAGCCATGAGAAATTTCTCAAATTCTTGGCTTCTTTCTGCCTTATTGTTCCTTCTCACCTGGTCACGTCCTCCAGCCATCCTCCTTCACGTTGCCCTTGGATGTCCAGAACATAAGAGTGACTTATCACATAAGCAAGGTCTGGGTATCGTCTTGTCCTTTCCAAATCTTGTGAGATTCAAACTGGGCCCCAGAGGAGAGGACTGCTGTGGTATCCTTTGCCTGGCAGAATTGAAAGTAAGGGTAATAGAGGAAAACCCTCTGCCAGGGAACAGCCTGCAGTCCACAGGACTCTCCTCCTTGGGCCTTTAACCATCAGAACACCAGTGCTTTGGCTGCCATCTCCAAGGATCTTCCCTCACAGGGATCCAGCTTGGTCCTCTTCAAGGGGATTTTTCTTCTGAAGAGAACCCAGTTTGTTGATATTAGTGGGAGACAGATGCTTCTCTTCACTGTGGCAGAAAGGAACTCGGGTTATAGCTGCACTCCTGGGTGGGGGGCTTGAAAGTGTTGTATTTAAGGAGGAGGCTCTGCTCCAGCCCCCAGGCCTGTTCCATGTGTCCTTGCTCCCATTAGTCTGGACACTCCCCTTATCTGCTCTTCCACTTTGCCCTTGAACTAGATCAATAGCGTGTCCCAAGCCTCATCAGTCCTGTTGTGTGACTTTTACCTTCCCTGAGAAGGCTAATAGATATGCATCCCAGCCCCAAGCTAGGGAGCTTTGGTGCCACGGCTTTTCTCTGAGAATCTTACCACACTGGTGAACTAGGGGCTAGAAAAAAAGAACTCGAAGTTTCCAGCATGAATTGAAAAGTCTTAGAGGTACCAGGAGGACAAAGACTGGGAATATTGAGATACAGGAGGAGTAGCTCTTAGAAAACAACTTTGGATGACATACTAGGCAGAAATATCAGATGGATTCAAAGTCTCTCCAGCTCTCTTGCAGTCATTTCAAGCAAAAATGAATCCTTCTGAGCCAGAGGGGCTGGGTGAGGCACCAGCTGTAGAGGAAAGAGGGGTTGGATAGATGGGTTGATGGGTGGTGAATTATTCAGTTGATATGATGAGGTCCGACAGAGTAGACAAGATCATTGGCAATGAGGCCAGCCTGCCAATAACAGAGTCAGCCTGGTACTGACAAGCCCTGGGGCAACAGGCCAAGGTCAGGGATCAAGGCTGAGGAGACAGGGCATTCTGTGGATCTGAGTAAACAGAGGAACAGTAGAATAGAGGGGCTGGAGAGGGAGGGACATTGGGTAGTGAGGCCATGATTCAACTCAGCTCACTGTTGGCAAGTCGAACGGATGAACAGACTCACACTTGACCCTCCAGCAGATTTCTAGAGACCATAATTTGCAGTGAGGAAATTGCCATTTTTCTCTCTCAGAGCTGTTGGTGGATTTGAACTGCTGGAGAGGTGCTGCCTTTGGGCTAGCAGCACAACTCCCTCTGGACTGTGCCACCAGAGCTCCCTAGGTCATGATTAGAAAAAAGAAGAGGAGAATGAGCAGAGAAACTCCACTGGAGATTGACATTTACAGAGCAGTATGTGCCACCTCAATTCTTATTTAATCCTCTCTGCAACCCACTGAAGTGAGAATTACTTCACTTTACATATAGCAAACTGTGAATGAAAGTTAAAATAACTTCAAGAAAGCCACACAGCCAGTAAGTGATAGGGTTAACACCAGACCTGAACCGATTCTGAACACCAGCCAGATAGTGCCAGTGATAAAAGCATGGAACTGACTGATACAAGGAAAGACTAAAGAAATGAAAGCAAGATGAACCTGTGTGAAAATAATAGATTGGGGAACAGCAGTATGAGTGGAAGATTCAGTCTCATGCTTGTGGTCCAGTCCGGGCCACATGGATGTTTTGTCTTTTACAAAACTTGCATTTATCTGTATTGAAAAACAAGAAACTCATGAAATTTTATTCAAAATGGGTGTCCCTGGAGGACATTATGCTGAAATATCTCAGTCACAAAAGGACAAATACTGCATAGTGCTAATATTATAAAATGGGACTGACATCGGGTTTGGGGGGAACCTAAGTAAAGAGGGGATAAATAATGTATACTGCATTGAAATAGGTGAGGGAGAGAACTGTTTAAAAGCAATATATGATTAGGTATTTTCATGACAAGATTCCAGAAAAAGAAATGCATAGTAAAGTGGACTTGGGGGCGGGGGTGCCAAGGGATTGTATAACAATGAAAGATTTTTTTTTCTTTTCAAAGAGAAAAGTGAACTAGTGGGGAGGAGTGGGCAGGGAAGAAAATAAGCAAAAAAGAATGAATGAGAAATTAAATGGGAAGACTATGCTGTAAAAAGTTGTTTAATTAAAAAAAAAAAGAAAAACAAATTAAAACTAAACTTGCATTTATCACTCACTACCTGCAGGTTCAATTTTTTCCTGTCAAACATAATTCTAGGTGGTATAGCACTGGTCTGTGTGTTGCTGTACAGAGGTAACTCATGGTTGCTGTGATGCTGAACACTGTGACACTGATGTGCCAAAAGTGGTAATGGTTACACATGGTAGACAGTGTTTGCTTGAGCTTCCCAACTAAAACAAGCCTGGAAGCCGAAATGGCTTGCCTCCGGAAACTCTATGTACGAACAGTGCTCATGCCTTTCATTTATAGGGTCGCTATGAGTCGTCTATGACTTGACAGCACCTAACAACAACAACCACCACCACCTCCCTGCCAGACTTTGAGCTTACAAGCTGCTGTTGACAATTTGTGAGCCCATGAGAATGAATAATATAAAGAATTGAGAGGGAGGAGCATGGGATGAGGAATGGCATTTGAAATGGAAAAGAGGGAACACTCAGTGAGGAAATGTTTGCTGTGTTCCAAACATCGGGCTTGTTCTCTATATTGTTGTTGGTGTGTGCCTTTGAGTAAGAATATACTCAAAGTTAACACTCCAGTGGGTTTTCAGAGGCAGTAAGTCACACAGGAGATTGCCCATCCTTCTCCCATGGAGCAGCTGGAGGATTTGAACCGTGTGGCTGTAGTATTGTAGTGCAGCTTCTTACCAGTAGGACACCAGAGCTGTTCTCTATATACATCATCTCATTTAATCCTAACAACCCTATGAAATAGGTATTATTTCCTCCCTTTTAAAAATTAAATAGCACATGAAGACATAACAATTAAGGTGAACTCGGGATTTTACCTCTAACCTGACTTCAAAGTGTATGCTTTAGCTTTTATGCCATCGCCTGCCTTTCCCTATTCCTGAATCCATGGGTTGTATAAAGATAAGGAAGGAAATGTTAGAATATACAAACAGGGAGTTAGTAGAAGACTGAAGGATGGCTACAGGCTAGGGTGGAGAGTTTCAGTCTTTACTACAACATGGAGTAGTGGGAAGAATGAGTGAACAGTGAGTTGCTGTCAGCAAAATGAGAGAACAGGAGCTAATAATGTATAATGACGGTCTCTTGGAGGGATGGCACATTCCTGCAGTTGTTACTGGCTTTGAAATGGGGTCTTCTGGTTTGGGTTTGTTATGTATACATAAAATGGGTTTTGGTGGCCTGCAGATGCATATAGTTTATCAGAACTTTTCAGAATTTTTAATGCCTTTACATTGGCTAGGAGTCCTGGTGGTGCTGTGGTGTTGCAGCATTTGGCTAGAACCAAAAGGTCAGCTGTTGGAACCTACCACACAGTCCTGGGGAGAATGATGAGGCAGCCTTCCATATTTACGTGGCAACCTTATAGACAACTCTGCTCTGCTCTATAGGGTTGCTATGAGTCAGAATTTGAGTCAGTGGATTTGGTCTATTTGTTTTCGTTTGAGTATTCTCTTTCCAGGCCATAACAGAGGGTCAAGGACTACAGCCTCCAATATGGATTGAGGCCGGGAAAGGAGGGACAATCTCCTCCTGTACCAGTCAGATTCAATTTGACGGTACACACACACACACACAAAATAATAAAAAAATTAAAAAAAAAAAAGATGACAAAGATTCTCAACACTGGACCAATTGGCAGCATCAGGATGGATGGTGAGGAGATTGACATTGTTCACAGCTTTAGTTTGTTTGGCTCCACAGTCAACACTCTTGGCACCAGTATCCAGGAAATTAATAGACATATTGCCATGGGAAAGTCTACTGTTAGGGACCTCTCCGAAGTACTGAAGAGCAATGGTGTCTCTCTGGAGACTAAGGTGCATCTGATACAGGCCCTGGTCTTTGCTATCACTTGTTATGCATCAGAGAGTTGGACAATGACTAAGGAGGATAGAAGGTGAATTGATGCCTTTGAGCTGTGGTGCTGCAGAAGAGTATTGAGGGTACCATGGACTGCTAGGAAAACAAACAGATTCATCCGGGAAAGGGTCAAACCAGGCTGCTCCTTGGAGGCAAGGATTCTGAGGCTCCGTCTAACATACTTTGGACATGTTGTAAGGAGCGACCGGTCCTTGGAGAGGGACATCATGCTTGGTAGGGTGGAGGGACAGCGCAGGAGGGGAAGGCCCTCTATGAGGTGGATTGGTTCAGTGACTGGGTAATCGGGATGGGTGTGTCAGAGGCAGTGCGATTGGCACAGGATAGAGCAGAGTTTAGGGCTGTTGTACTTAAGGTCGCTATGAGTCGCAAGTGAGACTCGAGGGCACATAACAACAACAAGGCCATAACAAATCCCACCACTTCTCAGTTCCTTACACTTGTTACATGACCTGTCTTACTCTGGAAGCATTTGAGTTAGAATCCTCTCCTTTTGCAGAGGTGGGAATTCCGGTCTAGAGGAAAAGATTTCACAATAGTGGAGAACCAAAAAAGCTAGGTTTCCAGACACCTGAATATGGATTAAATAGATTAATCCATAGCCACATTTAGTGCTATTTCTTTCAAATATACAGAATAAACTAGTAGAAGTGAAATTTGAGAGGTGGTGGGTGAACAAAATTAGAAAACTCTTTTAAAGAGATAATGGTGGCTGTGAATATAGATACTCAAGGTTTACAGCTGAAAGAATGAGCCAGATTGTCTAAGTTTGACCTTAAAAGCTAGCTTTATTTGTTAAATGGAATTAAAATTCTCTAGTTTCATACTGTCCGTCTTTCCACCCCACCACCCACCCTTCCCCTTCTTCTATCAATATTGCATACCTCACTCTGACCACAAGGTGTCACTCTAGTTTTTACCATTGGTTTTATAGTCTTTCCATTAACAGTAGGGTGTAGACAAAAGTGAAAAGGGAGAGTAGGACTGTTTTAAATCTTGGGCAGATGGCTTAATTCAGGTGCCTGGGGATGGAAGTTCAAAGCTGTAGAGGTTCAAGAATGCTAAGTTAACAGGCATGACAAGAACAGAAGGACCATTTTAGATGCCATCATAGTCTCTCCACATAAAATGCTTTTCCCATTTGATTTAGCTCTTGTTGATACTGCTGATATTCCTTTTCATACAGCTGGTGCAGGGCAGCTCGACGGACCTGGAAGGGAGGACAGAGAATAGAGAGTGATGTTGGTCCTGTTCACCATCATTTCTCATTTTTCTCCCTGGTTGCTTTTCCATCACTCTGGTCCCTTGGACCTGACTTTTGCTGTGGCATAAGCAGTAGAAGAACAAGTGGAGGGGAAGCATAACCAACCTTAAGCACATGTCAGCAAATATTTGCTGAGAACATACTATAAGCAATGAACTCGACTAGACACCAGGAATACAAAGATTTATTGTTATGTACCATTCCACAAGAAGTACAATTTGACCTTGAATCTAATTAAAAAAATCATTTCAGGGACAGATTTGAGGCATTGAGCACTAATGAGTGAAAGCAGAGGACCTGCGGAGGGATATCAAGAATATTATCCATGAAGACTGGAAAAGGTCATTATAAAGACAAAGGGGGAAGAAAAGACCAAGATGGATTTTCAGAAGAGAACCTGAATATTGCACGAGAGCACCAAGAAGCCAAAATAAAGGGGAGGGGGGAATCAAAAAGTTAAGAGCTGAATAGCAGACTTCAAAGAACAGCACTGGAAGACAAAGCAAAGTTGTTGTTATGTGCCGTCGAGTCACTTGTGACTCATAGCGACCCTATGTACAACAGGTCTAAACTCTGCTCTGTCCTGTGCCAATCTCATTGTCTCCGACACACTCATCCCGATTGTCACAGTCACCAAATCAATCCACCTCCCAGAGGATCTTCCCCTCCTGCGCCTGCCCTTCACCCTCTCAAGCATGATGTCCTTCTCCAAGGACCGGTCCCTCCTTACAACATGACCAAAGTATGTCAGACAAAGTCTCAGAATCCTTACCTCCAAGGAGCAGCCCGGTTTAACCCTCTCCAGGATGAATCTATTTGTTTTCTTAGAAGTCCATGGTACCCTCAGCACTCTTCTCCAACACCAAAGCTCAAAAGCATCAATTCTCCTTCTATTCTCCCTGGTCATTGTACAGCTCTCTGACGCATAGCAAGTGATTGCAAAGACCATGGCCTGTACCAGATGCACCTTAGTCTCCAGAGACACACTGTTGCTCTTCAGTACTTTGGAGAGGTCCCTAACCAGACTTTCCCATCGCAATACGTCTTTTAATTTCCTGGCTGCTGGTGCCAAGAGTGTTGATTGTGGTAGAATGGGACTGTCCTTGGGGTTGGGGAGAGACTGAGTAAGATGGGTTCAATAATGTATACTGCACTGAAACAGAGGAGGGAGAAAACTGTTTA